TATCCTTCCCCTTGCTAAGTTCTCCTATAACAACTCTGTTCACTCCTCCCTTTGAGTTTGCCCCTTCTTTGCAAACTCTAGCCGAAATTCCTGATTCAATCTCTCACTTTCTTCTCCATCCGAATCCTCATTCAAATCCCTGCTCTGAGGCATTTGTCTCCAACCTCCACAAAATCCACAACTCCATCTCCTTCCACCTCCATCGTGCTCAAGAATCTCACAAAATATTCGCTAATGTCCATCATCAGGATTATCCCCCTTACAATATCAGGGATAAAGTCTAGCTCCTCAGGCGAAATATCTCCATCATCAGGCCATGTCCCAAACTTGATTTCAAATGTCTCGATCCTTTCCCTATCATTGCCATCATTAATCCTGTCACTTATTGCCTTGCACTTCCCTCCTCATATAAAATTCACCCCATTTTTCACTCCTCTCTCCTTGAGCCTTATATTCCTAGTCCTATTCTAAATTGGGTCATTCTTTCGCCTCCACCAATGGCAAAAAGGATGAAATACAATGCACGAGAGAATGAAAAAAGAGAGAAAAAATGGTGAATGCTGTGGGTGCAATGTAGAGCTGCCGGTGCCAATGCAAGAACACTTTCTGCTATCCAGGCCATCATGCCAGGCATAGTCTAGAGGAATCTGCTTGCAAGTCCATGGACCTCCTCAAAGACCAGGGAGCCCCGACGCAAAGCTTGGGATTCCCTATGAAACTCGAGTTGAACATGGGGACGTCCAGTGCTTGTGGAAGCACTCAAGAAAAGTTGTTATATGAGACGTTGAAGAGCAGGAAATCTTTGAGCCTCATTCTGGTCAGCACCGGAGGAATGTCGTCGCTGAGCTTGTTCCTGGATGAGTTGAGTGACACCATCTTTACAATAGAAGGTGGTATGGAACCGGACAGGTGATGGACCCGTCAAGGATGGCAAGGCTGCTCAAGTTGCTCCGAATTCCACCTTCCAGATAGTTTGATCCCAACAGCAACTTTGAGCACAGACTGTCCAGTATGGTACCTGAGAGCTTATCTGTGAACTCATTCAGTACTTGCAGCTTGTCAATGTCCGTGGGGATTGTTCCAGTCAACTTGTTGTGGATTCTCAACGTCTGGAGATTAGTGAGCTGCAGCGGCACCAAGCCTTTGAAATAGTTTCGTAAATCTCCAAGATGGTCATACGAGGCAATCCCAAAGACAGCTTGTTGTAGTCGAACGGACTTGCAGTCCTAGTAGACCAGGATTCCTCCAGAGAGGCTGTTGTTGAAGAGATGAGCTTTCTGGAGTCGGTCCCCAGTGCACGAGCCGCTTGGAACCGCTTCGGTGAGGAGATTTGTGGAGACGTCGAATATCTCAGTTCAATTAAGCCACCCTTTTGTGCCTGCCAACCCTTAAATTTTCTTATCTATATAATAGAAAAATGTAAATTCATGAAGAGGGTTAGGGTTTCTACAACAGATGAGGATCTGTTTGTTCGAGTATTACCTGCTTGCGCAACAGTGCTCCCCTATGATCGAGGAGGCCTTTGATTATCTTGAGCACGACGAGCCTCCACCAATGGACGACGAGCTTCCTCCGCAGGATGATCCGAATGAAGATCGGGAGCTCCAAGCAGCGATCGCTCCGGCTGTGAGGAAGAAGAGGGCGGCCCCCTGGGAAAGATAACCATGCAGTGTTCCAGCCCGCCCACGAAGGCCTTCCCACCAGCGATGATCTTGAGCTAGCAAAATCGATCAAACCACCCTGCAAGACTTGTGGCGAGCCCTCCAGTTTCAACGACTTTAACAACAAGAAGATCACGCAGCCGCGATACAAGTGTAAGAACAAGGTCTGCTGAAGCGTGATTCCAAGTTCCTGTTAAAGGACGAGAAGATCTTGAGGGAGCTTGGTTTGATCATCTAGAGTAATTATTAAATATGATGGTTTTCATTACTAGCTTTAGTAAGTACATGGACCTTTATTTTCCATCTGGTAAACTTCAATGAATAGATGAATTATTAGGGTATGGAAACGCACATGAAAATACCCAGATCCGGACTGGGCATACACTGTAAATAGCGAAGTGACCACGTCAATGACAGGAGAGGAACAAAAGTCTGTTACCTCCTCCCCAAAGTCATTGGTGTCATGTAAACCCTAAACCCTAAGGTAAATTAACTAAGAAAGTTTATGCATGAATGTATGATAAAACCACATGCATTGTTTTGTTCCTCAAAAGCTCTGAATTGGCATAATTAAACAATTTTTCATTCCCAAACTGTTTTCATCTTTCTATAATGTGGAGGGAGGAAGAACTTCAAATAATAGTACTTGATATTTAATCCCAACAAGGGAAATTCTTGTTTTTGTTGTGAAGAATTTAGGTCATTGTTCTAATCCAATAGAAAGTTGTTATTGTGTTTTTGAAAGTTTTTTCCAATTATCAGTGTTCCCCTTTTGAGCAGACTCATTCCCAATAGTGTTTACATCAGACAACCTTCTATTAGACTCAAGCACCACATGTGATCCTTCACTACACCCATTTCTTCATGCACCTTCTCTTCCTTGACCTCCGATCAACTATGACTATAACACCAATATTTATGTTGAGGCACTGAATCTGCTATAAAAGTCTATTGCACAATTTCAGCAAGCTCATTCACCATGAGTGTGATGGAAATGTTAGGTCCAATTCAGCTCTGCTATGTGCCTTTGTTGTTGTAATCCATAAACACATCTTGTTCTGATTAGCAAAGAAACGGTGGTGTGTGCCTTTTAAATGACTAGAGAAATTTTGAGGTTGAAAGGTAGTGGCTAGTTTTAAATCTTGTGTTGCCGTTGATGACAAACAATCCTCAATTCTGAAATTTCATATATCTTGCATTTTGAGGTAGTAAGAAACACTATTAACAATAACAACTCTAAGTTACAACTTCTTACTGTCTAAATGCCACACTTGAATTGTACATATTATTTGTCCACTACAAAATACCAACATAATTTCTACTTTCCATCATCTTTAGATTAGTATTGATGAAATCCATAAATTTCTGACAAATTTATTTTAACTTATGAACACAAAGACAATTTGTGTTTCTGCATTTAAACATGAAACATTTTATAATTTACCAATAGTTACTTTCTTAATGAAATAATAAACTTGAAATATTAATAATTTGTTGTGCATTGTATGTAGCAACACTTGGTTTACTAATAGTAGCGTTATTTTTAATTATTAATCCAATTGATCAAATGGAAGTTTATAATTATAAATATTAACTAATAGATGAGAATATACTAGGTAGTGTTTAGAAAATTTTATAAATTATAAACATGTTTATAAATCATAAATAAAAGATTAATCTAAATAAATAACAACCATTAGATGGAAGAATATCCTAAAATATCCAAAAATATTTTAAGTATATTCACTACCATCCTATTCCCCTCAGGTTTGATTAAGCAAACCAAAAACTTATTTATAATATAAAAGTTATGAATGATTACAGACTACTTTATATATTGCCAATAGTAACTTTTCTTTAAGTTACTCTTCAAGAAGCAATAAAATATGACATATTTTAATTCATGGTTGTGATTATTCTAAAAAATGGACTAGATTTAATAATTAAATCTACAATGCCTTGAAAGAACTTAAACTTTTTAATGAAATGACAGAAAATTTTGGAAGGTAAAGAAAATTATATATTATAAACTAAAATTTATATTATTTATTTGGAACAAGAATATTACTATTTACCAAATGCATATATGATACATAGATTTAATTATTTTATAGTAAATATTAATATTAGTATTTTATTTTGTTTCAGTGTTAAATTATAGTCACCATTGAGCTAATGATATTAAAGTATATTCTTTTAGAGTAATGAATATTTCTAGAATATCCAAGTATATTCTAGGATAGTTTTCAATCAAATGGTTGTGCTTTCTCATATTAATTTTTGATTTGCTTAAGCCAATCTGTAGGGGGGTGGGGTGGTAGTGGATATACCTAGAATATGTTTGAATATTCTAGGATATTTTACCATCTAACGGTTGTTATTCATTTAGATTAATCTTGTATTTATAATTTATAAACTTTCCTAAACACTTCTTAGTATATTCTAGTTTATTCTAAAATCTAATAGTAAGATTAATCTTGTGTTTATAAATTATAAACAATTTTAAAATTTCATTTGATCAATGAGATTAATAAATAGGAATAACACTACTATTAAGCAAACTAAACGTTGGTGCATGGAATGCATAGCAAATTATTTTTATAAGTTTTATAATTATTTTGTAATAAGAGTTAACTAGAACTAATATAAACCCTTTTTTACAGTTATTGTTTAAAGAGAAAAAAAAAACTCCATTATTTTACTTGCAGAACTTCATCATTTTCATCAAACATCTATGCTTATTATACCAATAATAAGCAAATTTATCCCAAAAGGATCATTTCTATAGCACCACTTACTCAAAATATCTCTGACTTGATATTTTCATACTTAGAGAAGCTTTGGGAATAATAATACACTGTCTCCCAAAGAGCTTACTTAAAGTCTGAAGAGCACAATAAGTACTTCCTTTTCATTCTCTTACATGACATGATAAAATAACACAATCTACACATAGAAACACTTTTTTTTGCAACCTGTTGTTTAATATTTTTCTTTGCAACTAATTTTAATCATTATTCACATATCGCTATTCCCTTCTGTTGGTGTCATGGTATCTTGGAGAGGGATAAACTTTTATCAATTAGTACGAATTCTATATTGGATTGAGTTTCTCCTACACAGTGAGATTTAAGCTGAAAAAGTCCAATGTCAACTTAGTTTTAAAAGTCAACTTATATCCAAGCAAAAAACACGAAGCTGCTTAATGCTGCAACTTATTATTATCAATAGTTTATGATATCCCGTTTCTAATTTTGCGATTATGAGGAAAGTCAACCAAGCTCTATGTAATGTGCTTGAAAAGATTGAACTTGTCAGTCAGGATCGTGGGTACACACAATGAATCCCCCCTTTCCAGACGCCCAGCTCGGGATCACCCGAATTGTGATCCTCTTAATCCTGATCCAGGCTTTCCTAGCCGGTGGGAAGCTCCTCATGCACGCACAGGACGACGATTTTCCTCTCACCGATGCCGCCAGCAACAAGCTCCACGCCAGGTTCTTATCTCTCATTACTGCCATCCCTCCCAAGCTCACTTACGATGGAGCCACGGATCCATACTTCCGGGGCCAGGCCATTGTTGACACCTTGTTCCTCCTGGAATCCAATTTCTCGCTGGTTCTCAACCTCTACTTTTATAACGTCGAGTACTGCGGCCCAAACTTTAGCCCCGACTTTGGTGGCACTGGCAGCAAGCTTCGTGCTGGATTCACGGCTCTCCTGCCGGATCTCCGAGGTCTCATGAACTTGAGCTATGGAGCGGCCTATGTCGCCCAAGGACAGTTCCAAGCCGGATACTACATCAAGGGCATGAACTTGAGAGGATCTAATGGATCGTGCTCGTCTCTCCGGGTGGAAAATTCCACGGATCATATTGGCTACTGCTACGACTACGAAGACACGCGACTGAGTTACAGTGTTTTCGACAGGCTCTACCCGGGTTGCCGGATTCAATCTGCTACAAAGGCCGAGTACGTGCTGGAGATGCGAGAGGACTGCAACGCTGTGTTTAGCGACACCACTACCAACGAGGTTTTGTGGCAGTCGAAAACGAAGGGAAGCGGAAGGGACTGCGAGCTTGTTCTTGAAAAGACGGCGACGCTAGCTGTGTATGATCGAAACGGAACTGTCTTGGCGAGGTTTGGGACGAACAACTCCACGAATGCGTCCTTGTTTGCGGTCCAGGGAGATAGAAACATGGTGATCTATGCCATCAGCAACATGAAGACTCCAAAGGCGGTGTGGAGCTCACACACTTTCAAAGGCGAGCTTTTGGAAGTTACGATGTGAATCTCTTACATGCTTCTTCTTTCTCACTAGATCCATCTTCTCCGAATGGATCGACGCCGCAGCCAAATGGTACCAGCTCTGTTTCGCAGCCTTCGTTTAGCTCCAAGTCGAGGCGAGGGATTCGAACGATTGCAGTCTCCGTAGGAGCATCTCTCGTTGGAGTGGCACTGGTGATTTTGTGTGTTGTGCTGATTTTGCGAAAGAAAAGAAATCGTAAAGCTAGCCGGGAAGCGTTGAGCTGGCTACCACCCGGTTCCAAGGCCAGGAAATACTCGTACGAAGAGCTCCAAGAGGCTACCAAAGGATTTCACAAGGACAACATGGTAGGCAGAGGCGGATTTGCGAGTGTGTACAAGGTAAGTCTCTGTTTCTTTCTTTCGAGAAGTTCCTCGACTTTTGATCACACACAGGGAGTTATAGACAATCACTTTGTTGCTGTCAAATACTTGACTAGCTCCGACTTGTCAGACAAGGCAAGGCGGGATTTCGAGAACGAGGTGTCTACGATTTGCCTCCTCCAGCACAAGAATGTTGTCAAGCTTTTTGGTTTCTGCTCTGAGAAAGAGCACAAGCTCATCGTCTGCGAGTTCATCGAGAATGGAAACCTATCGGACGCTTTGTTTAGTAAGTTTCGCTAGATCCATGAAAGAGTTATCATGCTTTCTGTCTCGGCAGGGTCTCCAGACAAAGGTTTGGAGCTAAATTGGACAGCCAGATACAACATCTGTGTGGGAGTTGCGCAAGGTCTGGCATACTTGCACGGAGAAACATCACAGGCAACCATCGTGCACAGAGACATCAAGGCCCTCAACATCCTTCTAGCAAGCAATCTCGAGGCAAAGATCTCGGACTTCGGCCTGGCAAGACTGATCCAGGAAGATCGGAGCTATATCAGCACACGAGCCGCAGGAACAGTGTAAGTTTTTTTATGTCCAAAAACTTCAACTTCCATGGAGATCGTTTCCAGTGGCTATCTAGCTCCAGAGTACGCTCTCTCCGGCCAGCTCACCGAGAAGGCCGATGTCTACTCGTTTGGGATCCTTGTCCTGGAGATCTTGAGTGGAAGGATAAACATGGATTTCACACTCTTGGATGGCGATTACTTCCTTCTCGAACGGGTGAGTGGTTTTAAACTCTATATCTTCGTCTAAGATCCTTCTTCCAAACCAGGCGTGGAATGTCTTTCAGAGCGGCCACCTCCGGGAGATGATTGACAAGCGACTGGATGTGGGCGAAGAGCGAGATATTCATGAGATGGAGCGCGTGTTCTTGGTGGCTCTCCACTGCACGCAAGCCGGCGGCAGCAAGCGCCCGTCGATGTTTAGAGTGGTGGGAATGCTCATGGGAGACATGGAAATCGGTGGCACCATCTGCAGGCCTGGCTTCCTCGTTGATCTGAGGCAAAACCTCGAGCAGTCCAAATCTTTGACCAAAACTTGACACGTTTGCGTTATTTAACTGAAGTGGTACTTTTGACTGTGTCCAAATGCTCAAAGAAGTCTACTGTGAGAGTGTCGCATGATCGCTGGGAAATCAATGCAGTGTCATTGATGGTAATCACATGCTAAGAAGGCCTAACAGACATTTGGCTCCATAGAAACAACACTAATTCAGACTCAAAGGAGATAAAATATTTAAAAGTAAATAGGACTATTCTACCTCTTTTTTACATTAAGTTTTATGTGAGTATGATATGGGTTGCCTTTATTGAATGAGAACATCAAGCCTATTTCATTTGTGGGCTAGTGACATGTAAAACATTTGATTTCATTGCCTACTCAAAAACCATAAAAATCAACTAACCAAACCTAAAGTTTGTATTTTGGTTTTCTACATATGATACCCAGCATTTCTAATGCAAAATCCTTGCAAGCCAGATTTCACCATTTGTTTAGATAAATATTTACCGTGGTATAAACAGACTATTGAACACATAAATAGCAAAATTAAATGTTTAAGAACTTCGAATTATCATTTTTTACTTGTACCAACACTACTTATAGAGAGAATAGTTAGTTTTTTTAGTAAGTTTTTTTAGCAAGTTGTTATTCATTTAGATTAATCTTGTTTATAATTATTGATCAATTGGCTTATTCAAAAATACTAAATAAAAACAACACTACTATTAAACAAATCAAGTATTGTTACATGCAACACACAGCAAATTATTATCTAAGCACATTTTATTTTGAATGTGGTTTTTGACATTAGTTACCATATTTACAAATTGGTTCAAAGTTCCATTGTAGCAAGGGTGGGCGTGGCAACAAGGAAAAGATCTCCATCCCTAAGCAACCAAGAGATGGGGTGTGCTTAAGCTGGTAGCAAGGCTAAAGCAGATGGAGTGTTATTTCGTCAGCACTAGCAACCTCTACCAGGAGCTGGAGATCCTTGTGGACCTGGAGCAGGCAGAGGATGAAAAAGTGCCAGGGATCATCAAGCAATCTCACGAAGACTTAGATTTTTTTTTTGTTCACATCACCAATTCCTTTTTGCCATGTGGGCCTCCATGCTGTAAATCAGAACAAGTTTTAACAGGAGGTGCACAGCAATGGTGTCTCAGTCCCCAAGAAAAGAAAGCCACATCTTACCTGCAGCCGAATATATGTAGAGAATTATATTGGGATTTAACCAACACACAAATATACATGCAATAAAATTTTGTGTCAGTGTCTACAACAGTAATATACATACAAATTTGTACATAAAGTTTTGTCATATTTAAAGTATGTGAATTTTGTCTGCATATGGACACCGGCATAAAACTTTATTCCACATGACATTTTGATTTGAATCCACCTTCTTGATCTTGCTTGTCTTGTTTCTTTTGTCTAGAAATTTTTTTCATGATAACTCTTATCTTAACAGGTTTTACAGAAGTTTCTATCTACGCTCAATTCCACATGAGCTATGACCATCCCGTTAGAGATCCTGAACAGGGAAAACCACTAGTGAGATTTTCATAAAATCCCACTTATAATCATGATCAAGGAAGCCGACAGAAAGCGCCAGTGAAATATCTATCGTCCTGGAATGAGATGATCGCAGCATATGCTCAAAGTCTTTCCTCTCAGCGGATGCCAAAACCATCAACAGAGATGGCCAAGAGCATCACGAAACTGTAAGAGCTTGTTTGATTCGATGAGTGAAGATGCCACAGCACAGAATCGGGACTTGGAACGCGCTTTTCAACGAGATCCGACACAGCCAGAGCCCGGCAAGTGTTTGCTTCCATGCCCGACTGGGAGAGGAGCCTCTGGACGTGGCTCCTCCGACAGCTCGCCAAGAGGAAGCCAGTGCTTGATCGGGGCGTGGAACACAATTACCTCCCCGTACGAATACCCCAGCAAGCCAAGGAGCTCTTTGATGCCGCTGATGAGCGAGATGGCGTCTCCTGGACTGCCGTAATCGCAGCGCTCTCGCCTCCAGGAGGTGATGGTACGAATTCAAGATGAAAGTACAAAAAAACCCAGCTTCTCCGTTGTCCACCTTCCTAGTCCTCGCAGTGCTGGCGGGGTTGGGCTTCGAGCGGAGCAACGTCCGTCAGACTCTGCTTCGTGGCATCAGAGAGCTCTTTCTGCAAGAAGACATTGTACATATGGTATTAATCGGTAGCCACGAACTTCTGTGGAACTTCAACCTTCCCTCGGTCATGGGAGCTACATTCTGGGAAGGAGGAAATAGAAACTATTATAAGTTCATATGGGATACACCATCATCAAACAACCTATATGTTGTTTGGAAGTCACACACCGAGATACACAGACTCAGTCACGCACACCATCCACCAACTCCGAAGATGACTGCCACGCACGTTAGCCCCTCACAGCACTGTGTTCCCTTTGGAAGATAGTCCGGTGCACAACTCTTGCCTTTGCCGGCACATGAGTTCCCATTGGCATTCGAGAGGAGAGCTAGATCATTAAAGATGCGAACCACGTCTTGGTAAAGCTCATGATCTTCATCTGCAAAATCTTATAATGAGCAAAAGAGCCAATAAAATCTCACACTCACCAATGTTACTGTCTTTAGCAAGATCAACTACCTCTTTGTTTTCCAGGGTGATGTCGTAAACCTCAGGACTTTCTCCTGCATCATTTGGAATATAAATGACCAAGAAACTTGAGCCACATCTCACACTCACCGATATTAACAGGACGAGCAGATGCTATAAACATTATCATAGTGAAGATAGTAAAGACGAGAGGCATTGCCATTGACATGATACTAACTGATTGAATGAGCTCTAGGAACCTCAGTTTATCGAGTCGATATCGAGTCTGAGACAAAGTTTAAGGTCGGGTTTGAGATTGAGTCCAAGACCAAGTTGTGAGACACAAAATCCCTAGGCCCCAAAGTGGAGCCGGAGGGGCGCCACGTGGTAGTGGCCGAAGTGAAAGCCAAACGAGCGTAACACGTTTGGACTAAAAGCTCCGCCTTGAAAGGTCAAGAGCGGGAGTGGAACCCCTAACGAAGTGCTCGAGGAATGAGCACGAAACGAGCAATAAGCGAGGCTCCAAAAACGGACCCGAAAGGACCAACACATGACACGTGGAAGTGTCCGAGATGGAGTCCAAGGCGGACCCGAGATGGAGTCCGAGATGGACCCGAAATGGAGTCTGATATGGAGTCCGATATGGAGTCCGAAGTGGAGTCCGAGATGGAGTCCGAGATGGACCCGAGATGGACCCGAGATGGAGTCCGAGATGGAGTCCGAGAAGGACCCGAGATGGAGTCTGAGGTGGAGTCCGAGATGGACCCGAGATGGAGTCCGAGATGGAGTCCGAGAAGGACCCGAGATGGAGTCCGAGGTGGAGTCCGAGATGGACCCGAGATGGAGTCCGAGATGGAGTCCGAGAAGGACCCGAGATGGAGTCCGAGGTGGAGTCCGAGATGGAGTCCGAGATGGACCCGAGATGGAGTCCGAAGTCGAGACTGGGACCAAGACCGAGACCGGGACCGAGACCGAGATCGGAACCAAGACCGAGACCGAGGCCGAGGCCGAGTCCGAGTCCAAGTCCGAATCCGAGTCCGAGTCCGAGTCCGAGTCCGAGTCCGAGTCCGGAGCCTGAGAGGGTGAAAGCCCAAAGCGTTCGTCTCCCAGACCCTGGGGGGTTTGGTGAGCTCCAAAAGTATAGTAGGGGGAGGACTGCAGTGGAGCCAGTTTGGCTAGGAAAGGCCAGTTTGGCCCAGGAAGGCTGGACCCAGTGTTGGGTGATGAGCTGCCCACTGGGAAGTCCAAAACTAGAGTGAACACGGACCGACAAGCGGGGTAGCTTGGTGAAGTGTTCAAGAGCCGGCTCTAGTTCCCCCGGGAGATCGACTGGCCGATGCTCCCAGTCCAAGTGTGGGTGGCACTACCTACTTGGATACCAGGCGTGGCTCAACGGAACCTCGCTCTAAGCCCATGGCTAGAGCACCTAAAGGCGAAAGGTGGGGAGAGTACCCAGGTGGCTCGCGTAAGGCCACGGTGTTCCGAAATGGTGTCCCAAAGTCCCAGACTGTGGAAAGGAAGAGGGGTAGCCCTCTGGTGGGGTGACCAAGGATACAGTCACACAGTGAGGAAGTCCTCGAGGATAGTGGGACTTAGTGGTCAGGCCGGTGGGCCTTGATCCAGTGGCAGTGTTGGCGAACACAGCCAAGGACAGAAAAGGGACTTGGTGGGGACCGGAACAGAGATATTGGGGAAGGCTATTCCCCATGTCTGTAGGCATCCTAAGGATGTTAAGGAGTGGATCTGGGATGATCCCTCATGGACGGATGACCCAATCTTTGAGAGACGGGATTGGAATGCAGATGGTGTTGGACCACCAGTGTGACCAAGGTAATTGGGCATGGCCTTAGCGTAACGGGCCGATACGTTGGTGGTATCTTGGGGTGTCGATCATGGGATCGGACACATGGAGCACTTGGACCAAGTGCTAAGGTTGAGTGGCATGGATGCCATTCTTGGGGCTAGCAAGTCCCAAGTCCTGAGTTGGACTTATGGAGGTTGTGAATGAGACTCCTCCAAGTGGTCGGAGGTGTGGTTAAGTGACTAAAGTAGAATGGAAAAATTAGTCGCTTACAACTTGGTATCGGAGTTGTTCCTTAGTCCGACTTTTATTGGTGCTCAAGTATATCACCACTAGTGTTGGCATCGAAAGGTCCGAGGAGGGGGCCTATCCTTGAGGAGTAGCAAGTCGGGAAGGCATGGCTCTCCATTACAGTTCACGTGTGAACTTGTAGGCGAGGTGGTGGATAGAAAAGGGCCAATAATGGAACGACTTTGGGATCTTGGGAACAGTGCAAGGTTTTCCTCATTGAGTTGAGGATGTGATCCGGATGAGCATTTGTCTCAGCAAATTGGCTAAGGTAGTTGTGGTAGACAACTATAGTTGGGATCACGGGAAAGATAAAGACTCCAAAACAATAAAGGAGTCACAAGATTATCCTCACATAGTTGAGGCTGGTGCTCATGAAGGTGAGACCGGAATGGATGACCATGAGAGGTCAAGCAGGGGTGAAGACATGAGTCCTTGAAGTGGTAGCCAGGGCTACCTCTAATAAATGCTAGAACAACCCAAGGAGTTGGGGGTGTACTTAGAGGATGAGTTGGTATTCTCATCACATGGACAAGTGGTCCTAAGGGGCAAAAGGTTGCCCCAAGAGAACAAATCAAGTGGCAGAGTAACACTTGCAAAGATGGTCCTTGTGAGTAGGACCTGAATACAAGAAGTTGTATTCCAGCGAGTTGACACCTCGAAAACTAAGACCTCGCAGGTCATTGGATTAGTAAAGTCTAAAATGCTGGATGACTCAAGTGGAGTCAGGGAATGGTCCTAAGGGATTGGTTGAAGCATTTGGACGGAGGTGTATGGTGCCCCATGAGGTATGGGGAGGATCATAAGATCCAAGTATGAGAACAGTGAGTATCTCATTGATGGCAGAATGTGCCATATTAAAGTCATGGGAAAGATGTTCCCAGAAGAAAGCAACTTTGGCCTAGAGTTGGGTGCAAACACTATGGTGCGGTGCTAACGGATAGTTAGCATGAGGAACAATTATATTGGTTTTGGCAAAGACCTAAACACTAATAAGTAGTGTTATAAGGATAGGCTCGTGGAGCCGATGGTGTGGAGACACCGAAGGTGCCAAGGCGTGCTGCCTTGAGGTCAAGTTGGCGGGTTCATGAGAACCCCGTCCAAAGGAATCCCAATGGAAATGGGAATGGCATAGCCTAAGCTGGAAGGCATGCGGTTAGAGTGTGGTGACCCGGATAATGATGGAGGTGTGGAAGCACCAAGCAATGAGTTGTAGGACTTGACAATTATGGAGCAACTAAGCAAGAGGTGCAAGATAATTGGTTAAATGGGTAGAAGGTAACTACCCAAGACTTCTTAATGGCATAAGGAAGTTAGATATACCCTTACGGGGGATAAATTGCTTATGTTGCAATATAGTAAGTCAATGTCGTTAACGGGAATGCTCATTGTCAGGAGGCCATCATTGGGACACCTAAACACTCTAGAACACCAGGAGGTGGTGTTTCATGTCACAAGGGCAATAGATAAGGCCCAAGGGACTAAGTCCCTAGCGAATGATGGATAGTAGGTGCTATCCAAATATCCAAGGTTGTGGAGATAGGAGAAGACTGTCTACCCGAATTGGACAAAGCCAAAAATGGAATGTTGGCAAGGCTAGTGATGGGCATGTAAAGGCCCATAAGCAGCAACGTTAATCCCGATATGTGGGATTATAAGGTGAGTATGCCCAAGATTGAAGAACCACTTCCTATGCTATCGGGTAGGTTCATCCCTAAGAATACTTGCTAAGGCATAGTAAAATGTGCAAAGCTATCCTCCTAGTCTGGAGGAGAATAACCAAAGGAAACATATAGGGCCAAAGGCAAGTAGTATTGGGATGGAACCGAACCATAGGAATCGAAGGGCAAAACCAAGGTTGGTTATGCCAGCTGAGAGTGGAGAATCAAGTGGGGGCTCGAGGGTGTTGCCGTTAGCAACCGTGATGCCATGGAGAGTCTAAAATATGGAATTGTCCATGTTAGACTATATGGTAATTGGAAAGCTTGCAAAAAGGGAGGCCTTAGCAAGCTAAGGGACAGAGTTCCTTCAAGGTTCCCAAAGAGGATTCTAGGTAGCTTAGTACCTAGAAAGGCCAAGCGTAAATGGTTCAAGGAACGCGTGAAATCAGAGTGGCGCAGTAGAAGCGTGGTCTTGAAGCTTGCCATGAGGCAAGGCTATCAAGGTTAGGGAAGTAGTTCCCGAGTGTTCAAAGAGAGGGCTTTGAACGAAAGTCGATGATCAAGGACTTTCACGCTTATGCAGGAACCATGTTACAGTGGTCGGAGGACTTGCCAAGTGAGGTTGGCAAGTCGGGGGAACAAATACCCTAGTTGAAGGTGATAACTTCAAAAAGGGTGGGCCGTAGGGCCAAGTATGGAGGAGTCCATGCATGATCACAGACTTGTAAAGTGAGAGGACTTGGCAGTGTGGAGGAACTAGGTTCCTAAGCTGTGATCTATAGCGCGCTTTAAATATAAGTTGGTGCACCGGCGTGGGGAGTCACGCCAGGCATCCGGTGTGATGCCATCCGTAGATGCATATACGGAGGTTGGGTTCGAGTCCCGACCCTCTAGTGCTTGGGTTCGAGTCCCAAATCACTAGGGCGTGGTGATGGTTTGGAATATGAGGACACTCATATTTCAGTGGTCATGGACTCTCAGTGGGGAGACTGGTTTGGGCACACCGCCAAGCGAAGGATGCCTCGGAGTCGTGATGCACGGTTAGATTGCTTAGTGTGAAAGCTCGGCATATCTAACTTGAACACTTTGGTGCAAGTGGCACCAAGGTCGTGGTGAGTGAGATGGGGACACCTAATCTCAGTTGCTATGAACCCTTGGCCGTAAGGGCTAGCTTGGGTGCACTGCCAAGTGTGGGGGATGCCCCCGGGGTTATAGTCAACAACTTGGAGTTCTAGAAGACCAAGTACCTCTTGGCAACTCTGTTAAGGTGCCAAGGTGAGATCACTAGGTGATCTTATAGCCAGATAAGGACAAGGTCCTTGGTTGGCTAAGGAATGAAGTTCCTGGTTCAAAATGTTGAAATTGAACTATTTAAGGTGGTGTGGCTTGGTCATGATGACCAAGTGGGAAAAGCACCTTAGGGAAATGAGCTATGTCATTGCGATGGCATAGTGTGTCCAAGGAAAGTAGTCTCTAAAGAGACCTATGGGAGGGTCACAA